AAAAAAAAAAAAAAAAAAAAAAAAAGCAAGCTAAACATATCAACGAAACCGAGTTCCGAGTTTCAAAACAGGGTATTAGTACAGTTTGACAGATAAGCTCATGGTGGTGGATAGGAGAAAAGTTGCAAATGCAGGAAGCCATAATCTTACTGTGGGACTACACTTGGGCTTAAGGCGATTGTTTGTAAGGGGTCAGGACTTTTCAGGAAAGTTGGGCTTTGTCTATACACAGATTTCATTCATTAAGTGTGGGTGGGTTCTACTTCGAATTTCTCAGATTTTCGGCCACCTGGATTCTAAACTCTTCTAAGAACTGTCCCTGGCTTCAAAGGGTTGTTACAAGCTGTGAAAGTGCCCCGAAACGCGCATAAGGTTAAACAAACAAGATACGAGGGCGTGGAACTTTTCTCCAGGCACTAGGCATCTGTTTGCAGGTAGAGCCCAGGCCACTGCGTCCTTCTTCATCCACGTCGGCTTTACGCCCCCGGCAAGGTGCAAACATGGTCAATAGCTGCTCAGGGGACAGCTCTAGGGAGACAGACCCAGCGGGCGGGTCAGAGATCTTAGGGGTCGGTGAGCCCAGAAGCAGCCGCGGCGGGTCGACCTCGTACCTGGCTTCGCTGTCCATTGGCCGAAGAGAAGGTTGTTCCCGCAGGGCGCCCGCCGATTGGCTGCGCCGGGGAGGCGTGACGTCCGCAGAAGTTGAGCAAGCTCCTCCCCTCTCCCCGACCCCATCCCCACTCCGGCCGGGAATTCCAGGCCCTTGTCTGACCGCGAGCTCCGGGCGGGAAGCACCCTGCCGGCGCCTGGGGCGAGGTGAGGTTGCGGGAGGCGCTGCAAAGTCGCAGACGGGACGCCAGTGGGTGACCGGGGACCCGAGGGGCTCGGCCGAGGGGAGGGGGTGCGAGCGCGGGGGTCCGCCGCCTGGCCGCGGAGGGGGGCGGCCGCCTGGAGTTTGCGAACGAGGAGGGTCGGCGCTCCTTGATTTCTCTCCTCTTGGGCGGGGTGATGCGGTTGTTGGGGATGAACGTCCGCCGTTGGGGCTGCAGGAAGAACCCCTCGTTCCGGCCGGACCCACTCCTCCCCCACCGCTGCTGGCCCGGCCCAGCTCTGACGCAAACTTCTCCGGGCCGGGCCGCGGAGAACCTGCTGCGCCCGGAGACGCCGGGGCCGGGACTTTGGATGTCACACCTGTGGGCGCTTGCGACCCGGGGCGCCGGTCCGGGCCAGCCGCGCGATCCCGCGAGCGGGGGCGGGGCAGCAGCGCCGGGTCACCTGCGCTGCCCGGGTGAACTGGGCTGAGCGCCCTGACAACTTCCAGGAAAGGAGATGTGGTTGTGAGACCTGAGTGCGAGGGAGTGGGAGCGGAGCACCGCAAGACGCCGAATACCAATTCAGTAAAGTAAGTGAGGATGGAGAGTTGTGTTGTGGCTCATCAGTTACCGGAACGTGAGGCGGTTGTAGCTGCGACTATGCCCGCTACTCTTGCGCGGGACTGGATTGTCACTGGCCTGTGCAGTGGTTTCCACTACTTAATTAGGAAACCGAACACATATGTAATTCAAATCCGAAGTGTCTGGCTTTGTGCGTTTCTCCTCTGCATTCCTCCCTTGCCCAGGCAGAGTATTCAGGGCCGCAGGATTTTCTGGCTGTCCAGCCTAGTTACCATTCTGTAAAGGAGCTTAGAAGGACAAAGGTTGAAGCCGATTTGCCGATTTCATCCCGAAAGTCGTACTTCTTACTCATCTCGCTTGTTATTGTTGAAAGTCTAATTAGAACTGTATTTGTAGCTGAAAAAAGTGTTTTTTTTTTTTTTTCCCTGACTAGTCTTTTAAGAATTAACAGCACTTAGTTCAAAATTGTAATTCTTTGGTGTACAAGCAGTTTCCAGCTAACAAAACGTTTTTATTCTTCCAAATTTTCTTTTATTAATTTTTTCCTCAGAAATAATACTGTAAGCAGTGATAAATTTTTCTAGGGGAGGCTACCAAAAATTTCATTAGGTGATTCACTGAGATGTAGAAACACTACATTTGGGATGAGAAATAGCCTAAATATTACTATATTTATTGACTCTAAGATGTCATTACGTGTAAAGCTGTGTCCCTATTTTTGAGATGTTATAATGTGAAAACGTGTCTTAAATTTGATAAAATATGATGCCAAAGGGGGCTTACTCACTTCACTTTTTCCTTCAGAAAAACGCAAGGGGTGTGTGTGTGTGTGTGTGTGTGTGTGAAAAAGAGGGAGGGAAAGAGACAACCCGCATGCGCGTGCTTATGCATTTGCACTGTGTGACCCCACGCTGGACGGGACAGTGTTTGCTGGTAGTGGTGTGGTTGTACTCTCACTTGAGGAGTAGGCAGGCTTGCAGCCTTTTTGTTAAAGTACGTTGAGCGTTTATGGCATGCAAGTTTGAGCTCAGCACTGTATGAGTGTTAGTTCAATTATACTTCACAATAACAACCTTGATGTGTAGATGTTAATATGACGTCCATGTTGTAGATGAGGCACAGACAGGTTAAGTTAAAGACCAGGGTCACAAAGTAAGTTCAGGTGCCGTGGAATCCAGGACATTTGTGAATGAGAAGAGCCAGGATTCCTTTGCCACGTTCCCCTTGTGTTGCAGGCTCTGGCCCCTGGTCAGTGCAGGGAATGCAGGTATCTTAGGTGAACACTGGGGTTACACCTGTTTAGTCTACCTCTGTTGGGTGTTCATAACTCGCAGGCCTGTTTATGTCCTAAAATTCAAACGTGTTTGTAATCTACAAGGCTCAGTTACTACTAGGCTTGCAGAGTCAGACTGTTAGTGCTGAAAGAGAATTTAGTGTTGTATTCCAGGGTGTTCTATGTCTCAGGTCCCAAGTCGGAGTTCCTCCTACCATACCATCCTTCATAACATTCACAGGCCTGTGTGATCTTGGTAGACAGTAGAGTTTTCTTTGGTAGGAGGAGGGGAACAATGAAATCCAGTTCTTATTTTCCTACTGCATATATCTTTGTAGTATTTATTAAAATTTGCTCATTTATTAGTTCATTCTTTAAAAATTGAAACATACATGAAAACATAAAATTGTGCATATTATAAATAGATATATGTACATGGGAAAAGGGGTTCAAAGATGCAGGAAGAGGGATGGTGGTGAGAGGAGAAAAAAGAAAAGAATTAAGAAATGTCATCTCTAGGTATGTACGCCCCATGATGAATGTACACATTATGTTTACAAATATGCACCATTTGAAAAGATGGAAGGATCAGGGAGGGAAAAAGAATGAAGTGAGAAAAAGAGAACTAAGGTGTGTTATGTAAATGTACTGATTATATGAGTCTAATCATTGTGTACTGCACACATGTACTAGGAAAAATGAAATTAGAAAATTTGCATATGGCAATTGAACACCATGTGATATTTCAATACATGTGTACATTATGAAATATTTAGATCAGGTTATATTTTTTTAGGTTGAAATATTCAAAATCCTCTGCTAGTATATTGAAATATATAGTATATTGTCATCTTACTGAGAAAAATTATTTATTCATTCTATTTTACAACATTTGAGGTTTTCCTATGTGCCAGACTCCAGGAGCAGCAGTGAGTAAATCACTGTTTCTACTTATTTACAGTTCAGCAAAGAGAAGCTGCGAGCAGATGAGCACTTTGGATACACCTCCAATTAGGACTGACTTTTATTCCATATCAGTGAAGTGAAATTTGTAAGAGACCAGGGAATCACTTACATCTTTTCTCTTTAAATAATTTTTAAACATTATTTATTTACGGTCTTGCTATGCAGCTTAGACTCATAGTGATCCTTGTGTCTCAGCCTCCCCAGCGCTGCTACTATAGGCATGCATCACCACACCTGGTTTCAGTGGCTGGCACGGCATGTGGTATAAGGGATTGAACCCAGGTCCTTGTGCTTACCAGGCAGGCACTTAGACTGCCGAGCCATCTCCCAAGCCCTGGACTTACATCTTTGCAGGACTTTTAGCAGCTGATAATTGAAAAAATATGAATATGAAAACTAATAGATCTTCCCTCAAAGTGAGCTTAAAAAAAGAGACTACTCTGGCTAGGAATTTTATAGAGGATTTAACCTGAAAGCATTTCTAGAATGTAACAACGCAATAGGAATGAAGTGTGGGGGCCATAGTTGCTACAAGCCCAACCTTAGTTCTAGCAAGCCTCAGAGTTAGGATTTGGTTTAGCTGTAGGCCATCATCAGAGGCTCTCTTCATTCTGGAATTCTTTTGTACCAACTAGGAATATTTTGGTCTGATACCAAATATGTACTGCAAATATTTTCAAGTACGTACGGGAAGACTCGTGGTCATAGGGCTGCCCACGCTTATTTATATCTACCACACTTTCCTGCACAATCATGGCTTTTAGAATACAGTTGTATTTTTTGAATGAATAGGAAGAGCAAATATACTTATCTTTTTCTCAGATAACTTATTTTTTATCTGATGTCTACATTAACCCTTTTTTAGTCTCAATATTTAAGATGAACTCTTGATCATTACAAATATTTTGACATTAAGTTTTTCAGTATGATCCAGTAGTTTTAGTTTTTATCACTGAATTATGTTGGAAATGTTTTAAGGATCAAAAATATATGGACAGGCTGATCTGATAGCTCAGCGCACTAAAGCGCCTGCTTAGGCATAGTGCAGAGCTGGGGTTTGATCCGCAGTGTGTTGTGCTGGCCCCTCCTGCAGAGATGGCAATTGAGACTGGGTGTGGTGTCGTGCCCCTGTCATCCCAGCGCTTGGGAAGCTGAGAACAGGAGGATCACTACAAGTCTGATGTTTGTTGTGAGACCCTATAGACCCTTTAGACCCTGTCCTAAATACAGAAAAAAAAAATAGATGGGCAGATATCACATTCTTGCCTATGCTTGCCTATGGAGTTGCTTTTTTAAAATAATGAATGTGTACTTCTTCGTGTCCCAGTGGAAGGGACAACACTTATAAAAAGTTATGCCTAGAATTATTTTATTCTTAAACACTTGCATTTGCTTGTATATTGCTTTGGTTAGATAGGTGATTTGTAAGTTTAAAGGAGGTTTTGGTTGAATGAATCCTTGGAAAGGGTTGAAGAGATTTATAGAATGTGTGATACTTGGCAGAAACTAAAGAGCGTATGAAGAGTGGTGCTTTCTTCATCGGCCCATCTCGACGTAAATGGTGCAATCCAGATATCTTCTTTTATGGCACAGAAACTACCTGAACAGTAGCTGAGAAAGAACTTAGTGGTGTTGCATTTGAAAAGTCATACTTTTGCAACAGATTGTATTGTTTTGACCTATCCTAGAGTTTTTTTATACATATATAATGTATTTGGTTGTTACAGGTTGTCGTGTTACTGAGCAGAATTATTTATTCATTCTATTTTACAACATTTGAGGTTTTCCTATGTGCCAGACTCCAGGAGCAGCAGTGAGTAAATCACTATTTCTACTTATTTA